AGAACGGCAGTGCTGTACAGGTTTCGGTACAGCTGGGAAGGCATCTTAGGGTTTAGGGTTTAGGGTCTAGGGTGTAGGGTCTAGGGTTTAGGGTTTAGGGTCTAGGGTCTAGGGTCTAGGGTTTTGGGTTTAGGGTTTAGGTTTGCAGGGTTTAGGGTTTAGGGTCTAGGGTCTAGGGTTTTGGGTTTTGGGTTTAGGGTTTAGGTTTGCAGGGTTTAGGTTTGCAGGGTTTAGGGTTTAGGGTTGCAGGGTTTGGGGTTTAGGGTTTAGGGTTTAGGGTTTAGGGGTATAGGGTTTCAGGTTTCAGGATTTTAGGGCTTTAGGGTTTTAGGGTTTAGGGGTTAGCGGCGGATGATCAAAATCCTGCATTACCCATAATAAGGAATATACCTTCATTCCCATGGTTCAGGGTCCTGAAGGTAATGCAGGGTTTATATCATCGAAAGTAGGGTTGGCAGTTTTAGGTTCCCCACAAATGTACGTTGCATTTGTAATAAAGGACCCTTCCTTAACAGGGGCGCTAGATAGCCTCCCAGCCCTAAGCCCTTAAAGCCCTAAAACTTTCACGGCTTTATGCTCAGGTCTCTAAACCCTAAACCCCTAAACCCTAAACCCCTAAGCCCGAAAGCCCTAAAGCCCTAAACCCTAAACCCTAAAGCCCTAAAGCCCTAAAGCCCTAAAGCCCTAAAGCCCTAAAAGCCCTAAACCCGAAACCCTAAAGCCAAGATCAGGTCCGATACCAATTCCCCAAAGCGTCCAGAGCCTTGGCGGCTTCAGAAGGGTCTTAGGTCTTTTTTTGGGGGTTTAGGGCTTTAGGGTTTAAGGCTTTTAGTGTTTAGGGCTTATGGTTTAGGACTCTTTTTTTTGGGGGTGGGTTTAGGGCTTTTAGGGTTCAGGGCTTTTAGGGTTTAGGGTTTAGGGCCTAGGGTTTAGGTCTTTGCGGGGTGGTTTAGGGCTGTTTGGGTTTAGGGTGTAGGGCTTCTGGCTTTTAGGGACTGACGTTGGCCACCAAAGCCTAAACCCCAGCACCCCAAACCGAAAAAAACCGTAAACCCCAGCACCCCAAACCCTAAACCTTCAACCCCAACCCCAACCCCTAAACCCCTGTACCCTCAACCCTAAGCCCTAAACCCTTAAACCCTAAACCCTCAACCCTATTAACCCCAAAATCCTGATCCGCAGCCTCGCGCCCTGTTCTTATTGTGCCTTTGGAAGGGTGCCGTTAAAGGGGAGTTTAGGGTTCCGGGTTTAGGGTTTAAAGGGGAGTTTAGGCTTCTGGGTTTTTTGGTTGCGGGTTTAAGGGGAGTTTAGGCTTCTGGGTTTTTTGGTTTAGGGTTTAAGGGGAGTTTAGGCTTCTGGGTTTAGGGTTTCGGGTTCAAAGGGGAGTTTAGGGGCCAGGGTTCGGAGTTTAGGGTGCTGCTTCTGTTGGAGAGGCTCTACATGTATCCGTAAAACCTGAAACCCTAAACCCTAAAACCCTAAACCCTCAGACCCTAAGACCCCGAAGCCCTAAACCCGAAACCCAGAACTAAACCCTAAGACCCTAAAGCCCTAAAGCCCTAATCCAGCGACTCCGACAGTTCGGGGATCATTGTTGAGGCATCCTTTCCTCGAGTTCAGGAGTAACTTGTCGTGCTCTTAGGACTTATCCTTGAGAATGCTTAGTATACTATCATGGAAGTCGTGAGGGGTGATTACAAAATCTTGTTTCTGTTACGGGTTCTGGGGGCGTTTAAGCTAGGGAATATAGCGTTTCGGGGTGTTGGTGCAGTTGCTCAGAAGTAAACCTGTGGATCCAAATTTTACCGTTTCAAGGGTTCTACCCTCCAATAAACGGGTCATAACCTACTATTTTGTAGGGTTTGGGGTCACAGGTAAACCCTAAACCCTAAACCCCTAAACCCTAAGCCCTAAACCCTAAACCCTAAACCCTAAACCCTCCTTCTTCAAGCCCTATCCGAATCAATTTAGCCCGAACTGAATTGTGTTTTTAATGTACGTAATATCGGCGGATAAGGCCCTCAGGGCATCCGAAATCGCCTGAAAACCCTAATCCCTGAACCAAAGCCCACCCTAAACCCTAAACCCTAAACCCTAAAGACCAATCCCTGAACCAAAGCTCACACATCATTCCGAATCATCCCTGGGCCTTAAACCCTCAACCTCAAGCCCTGAGCTTTTAGGGTTTAGGGTTTTCGGGTTTAGGGAAGCCCTAAACCCGTTAACCCTAAGCCCGAAACCCTAAAAGCAAGTCTTAGGGCTTTAAGCCCTAAACCCGTAACCCAAAGCCCCTAACCTTTAAAAGCAAGTCTTGAGGACTCGCCAATAATGTCGCCGGCTTCGGGGTTCGCAAGTGGGCCTCGGAGGTCTATGACCCTGCAGCTTGTCTCGGGCATTAATGGGTTTAGGGTTTAGGGTTCAGGGTTCAGGGTTTAGGGTTTACCTAAACCCTAAACACCCTAAACACCCTTAACACCCTAAAGCCCTAAACTCATGTCTGTTGGGTTTGGGTTTAGGGTTCTAGGGTTTAGGGCTTTGGGCTCTGGCCTTGAAGAGTTTGGGCTTAGGGCCCCAGGTGTTTAGGGTTTAGGGTTCTAAGTTTTCGGGTTCAGGGTCTAGGGTTCTGATTTAGGGTTCTAGGGTTTAGGCTTTCTCGTTTGGTATGAGAAAGATGAGGGTTTGGCGTTACGGTATTGAGTATGGCTTTAAGGCATGTTGAGGCACAACTGTTTTCTTTACAGCAAGGGACAAATATCTTAATAAGCCACATTATATGGTAGCAACTCTTCTGTATACAGTGGCATAGCCTTGGTAGTGCCAGCAGGAATATCTGTCTATGTCGTGTGGTATGGAACCCATCTGAACTCTGCACAATTCGTACCACAATTCTTTTAACTCATTCCGGCCCAGGAACAGCGATGCCCTGTCAGCATCTGGAGAGGGGAATGGCAAGAGGCGTGGCAGCGTCGTGGCCTTGGCAAACTTCCAGAAGCTGGAGAGACTTGAATGATCTTTTGTTAGATCACATTGTCAAGGGTTTTGGAGCGTGTATAAGGGTCTGTCAGGATGTAACAGAGGTTTTGGCACGTCTTGTGGAGGTCAAACCGGGCCTTGCAAAATGTTTACTAGAGGCAGTACGTATTGCCACGAGCGGCTTTATCTAGGTAAACTTCCTTGCTGCTTGCTGCTACTATGTTTGCTTCACTCCTCAACCGAAAGATGGTTGACTCTTTGAGTTCTTTTACAAACTAAACAGAGAAAGGTAGGTTTTTTTTTTTCAAATTAGGGCTACCAGTCTTGCAGCTACAGCCTCGAATGGCTCAGCACATCCTTCTAGTACTTGGGTTGGAAAGGTTTAGGGTTTAGGGTTTAGGGAACTTGGGTTGGAAAGGATCGCTGCAATTGCCAAGGAGTGACAGCAAGCTATCGGAGCATAGCGGCCTGCATCTTTTGGGCAAGATACGAGCAAGAGTTACCTTCCTGGTCAAGCGCGATTATATATCCAACATGATGGCCATTGTGGTTCTTATCGATGCCCTTCTTACTGCGACAGATATTGATGCCCGAGCCGCGGACCGGCGAGCTCCGCCCATCGTCGCGACCCTGTCAGAAATGTGCCTGTATTGCTACACGGCCGAGCTGCTCCTCGTACTGACGGTCAAAGGCCTGTCGGCTCTAAAGGACGGGAGGGTTGAGGGGCTAGGGTTTAGGGTTTAGGGGTTAGGGGTTTAGGGGTTTAGGGGTTTAGGGGTTTAGGGCCTAGGGTTTAGGGTTGAGGGCTTCTGGATGGTTTCTGGATTTAGGGTTCAGGGGTTTAGGGTTTCGGTGTTAAAGGACTGGAGGGTTGAGGGTTTAGGGTTTAGGGGAAACCATGGGCCCCTGGTACGGGCCCCTAACCCGGGGACGCTGATATACCTACTACTATATACCCTGTATACGCCCTTCAGGGTCCCTGCCCCCCTACAAGGCCTAAGGGTCCACATTAGGGGCCCATACTATCCTAAACCCTAAACCCTAAACCCTAGGCCCTAGACCCTTTGTTTAGAAGGACTGGATGGTGGTGCTTGATCTTCTGATCGTCCTGTGTGGCTATGTGGAGTTGGTCATGCTGCGACTTGCATATGGAGGAGACTTGGCAGACTCTTTGGGCACACTCCGCGTATTGCGCTTGGCCCGAATTGTGCGATTGATGCTTGGCTGACTTCTGAAAGCCTGCTGAAAATTAAAATTTTTGCCTACTACTTATAGTTTGAAACACAAAAAGTTCAAGTCCTAAGAGCCAGCCAGAAGAACGCCAAGGATGAATTTGCTGCGAAAGAGCCGTTCTCTCAAAGAACTTCAGAAGTTGGTCATCATGCTCACGACGTGCATGAAAGCTCTCGCTTGGTCCTTCCTTTTCTGCTTCGTCATAATGACGATCTGGGCCACCTAGTTCTCCAACAGCCAACCTTTAAACTTTTTGGGTTATATAATGTAGTAGTAACCGTAAAGTGTACCTTGAATTTTGCTGGCTTCTTGGGGAAGTAAGGCCATGATGATCGTTGAGATAGTCCACCCACATGTCAAAGAAATGTATCTGACTGAAGATGTGTTCGCAGACTGTGCGGATTGCTTGCAGGCGACAGAGTCACTTGGGCTGAGCCTTATGACCCTAAACCCTAAACCCTAAACCCTAAACCCTAAACCCTAAACCCTAAACCCTAAACCCTAAACCGAGCCCGAAGACCTAACCCTAAACCTTTCTAAACCAGCAGCTTTCGGAAACATGCCAAGGCATCTTCTTCGACTTCACTCTCAGTTTCCATCGAAACACAAAGCCTAAACTTTAAGCCCGAGAAACCTAAATCCTTAAAACTTCTAACCACCAACCCCAAACCCTTGAACCCTAAGGTTCAACCCTAACCCTAAACGCCAAACCCCCAAACTCCAAACCCTTGAACCCTAAACCCTAAACCGAAAGCCAGAAGATCTCAAACCCTGGTGTAGAAGGGGGGTCCCTTCTTGTTTTAGCTCTTAGGGGCACTTAGAAATAATTTTTAATCTTTGGCTACTCTAAACCCTAAGAAGCAGCTAAAATT